CTCGTCACATCAGAGGGGGACATGGCGCCGATCCTCACCGTCTCGCATGCGTAATCATGCAAACCACAATCAAATTTTTGCGGCGGGACATCTCAGAGCGCATACATGCTAAAAGAATTATCTCAAGTGGAACTATGTAGAAAAGCACCTGCTTTCAATTTTGCATTACAAACATGAACGCTTGGTTAACTTTGAACACGCTGTGTACACATACTGTCAGCGTCACATGAAACCCGAACAACGACAAGCCTTCGCAATGGTAGAGTGCGCGCTGTCCACTTGTCAACATGGACAGATCATTTATCTCTACTGGCAGGGGGCGGAACCTCCATATACCTGCCCTGTATTTGCTCTCGGCAGCACCTATTTTACCACTGGCGGTTGCCGGGCATCCTACTAGAAATAAATCAGGAACAGAAAATGTCTTTCATGACGACGTCCATAAATAGAGGGAAAAGGCAAAACTTCGAGAGCAGGAGGGTTCCGTTCCACGCGCTTCCCGCACAGCCGCAACGCACGTGCCGGGACCCTTGCTGCACGCAAGCGGGGGACAAATAAGCCAATTGGCGGTGCTCTTCCACCTTCACCAGCGTCGCCAATTGGCTTATTTGTCCCCCGCTTGCGTGCGGCAGGGGTCCCGGCACGTGCGTGGTGGTGGTAGTGGTTAGAAGATGAGAAAAGGCACCTAATTTCTGCAACCCGGTCGGGAGCACGGCGCAGTGCGGCTGTGCGAGAAGTGCGTGGAACGGCTAGAAACCCTCCTTTCCCACTTCGCATGAAAGCGGAATGCGCTCGTGCCTTCTCTGCGCCGTGCTCCGGATTCGCTCGCAGGATTTCAAGCTGGACGGTTGTGCCCTCGCGATCTCCGACGCCAGCGTAGCTCCCGCCGACTGGTTCGCCCTCCGCGGTCTCCTGACGCCGTGCAGCTCTCGCATTGTGGCGCCCCGCCCTTGGACTGCTTAGACCGGATCCCCACTTTCATGTCTCCTTCTTTTTACCGTCGCTTGCCTGTCTATTTCTTCATCTATTTTCCTTCTATTCTTTTTATCCCTCCTTCCCCCCATCCCTATAAGGCACTGCGCCGTGTCGCCTGAAGGCAGACAGAAATTAGGTGCCTTTTTCCTCTTCCTTACAACCACTACCACCCCGCCGTGCTCCCGACCGGGCTGCAGAAATTAGGTGCCTTTCTCCTCTTCTAACCCCTACCACCACCACCAGGTCCGCCGCCACTCGGGCGATGCGGCCATTCGCAAAATTTTCTTGATTTTTTTTTCATTTTGATTTATTGTTCGCGTTTTCTGAAGCGGCGAAAGTTAAGCTGACTGATCTCTCATTAAGACGAAACTCGATCGGCACAAAAAAAAAGGAACTTTTTTATCGCACATTTTCTCTGAAAAAAGACATGCACGTAGAGTACAAGTGTCAATCTATAAAAGCAGCTTCAACTTACAACTGGCATACGGACATAATGAGTAAATGTTGAACCCAGAATATCTGAACCAATGCCAAGATTACCAAGGATCGCGAGTAGGACACGTTGTACTTGATTCCACGTTTTTTATGACAACGGGACTACTTTTCTTACAGATCTTGAGTACCAAACGGCCCTGAAGTTTAGAGGCACGGATAGACTTGAAGTGATCGGACGTTTTTCGAGAAAGAACGTCGCTGGAAACAGTGTTTCGGCAAGATGACTTGTCTTCGTCAGAGCAAAAGTATTGCCTTGACAAAGAAAAGATCGCTTGGCAAAACGTTGGCTCCACGACATTCTCCGTAATAATTTTTTAGAACCATTTAGTCCATCACGTGCACTTGAGTGGCACTATTAGAAGTAAAGACTCACAAATTTTCGAACCGCTGCTACAAGAATTTCATGAGCAATAAGCAACCTATAATTACTTGACATCATTTGAACTACACGCCGAAAGTAAGAGAAACTAAAACTATATATGTAGCCGAGCCAACTCGGGTTCAAACATTTCAATAAACGCATTTTCCCGACAGAAGCTTGGCTGCCGTCATAACCGATAAGTCAAGTGACACTGCACTTGTGTCAGAACAGTCAGGCTTGCAGAGAACTGGGTTAATTCATATGTACTCGTGCAAAATAAATACCTGCTCTAATAAATTATGAGTCCCAATTCTTGTGCTCACCCGTTGCCTTTGGGAAACGCTGAACAACCTTCGTGGAACTAGAAATCCCCGGGTTAGCATACCGCATAGCCGCGCAAAACACGTGTTACCATATGAAGCCATCTTCGACGAATGCATGGTTGACTTGTCTGGCGTAGCTCACTGCGGCTTCCGTTCTCTGGCCGCCACAACATACTGTCTTTTATCTTCCCCGTAGTTGACACGCCAACCGAGCGAGATATCTGAGCGCTATCGAACTTTTAATATCGCTGAGCGAGGGGCGAGAAGGGAGGAGGGCAAGCTCTACGAACGCAAGTCAATCACGTCCCGCACTTCGCCTGATTTAAAATTCACAAAATGAGGAATAAGAAAAGACATATAAACAAAAAAAGTTCTTTATGGGAGTATCGATTTTTTTTTATTTCTAAAAACTTGTTAAAGTCAATCAATACGAGCATTCACATCAACTTCACTCCGTTCAATTGAATCTTAGGATGCCTGGCAACCGCTACGAGCGTGCATCATCCGCTACGAAGGGGCGGGCATCAACAACAGGTTAATAAACACGTTTAGGATGCGACTGATGACTGCTCCAGTACAGCAGCTGACGGTATGCGATTTATCTCGACAATGCTAGAGAGGGTGAGAAGGAAGGAAGTAAAATCCTATATCCCGGATATCACTGCGAAGAACAGTATTTTAATGGGAAATGCAAGGGGTATGAATGTTGGCAAGAGAGCGAGTGGAACAGAAGAACAAGAAAAGCCACAAAGAAAGAAAAAAAGGAAAAGAGGAAGGAACAAACAAACAAACAAAAAACAAGCCAATGAAGAAGCGTTTGTGTCGTTATCTATTGCCCTGCAGTGGTGTTTTCACTGCACTCAGTAATGTAATGCGGTGTAACTACAAAAGAAGGAAATACAAGAGGGACGGGGGTGGGTAGGCGATGCGTTTAAACAGCGTATGAAATTCTCATCTCCGCTTCAAAACCTTAAATGCAGTAGAGTGAATACAAATGTTTGTAAAAGTTTAACGACTATCAGCTCCAGCAACGTTCTTTGTTCGACTAAATATTTTGCCCCGAAGGCATTGGCTTATTTGAATGGATGTTTACAAGGCTTAGTCGATTGCTGACTGATATTTTCTTTCGAATGTTGGATTTATATTCTCATATTATGGAAGTCGTTTATACTTTGTTCTCTGCCAATACACAGCTGGCGCCGAAACGCAAATACTGGATGATGTGAACGAGACTTTGACAAACCAGAACGCACGCTGGCGTGTTTTCTCAACATGTGCCATATATAAACGTACAGTCACGTTGTTGCGCGGTTTGGGAATTTCAACGAATAAATATTATATAATTCGAATTAGGTATACGTTCCCGCGTTTTGCACCCTTACCTATAGACCTTCACTGCGCAGCAATCGCACTGGTGCTGCTCTCCAGCGCTCGCAGTTTTCACCTCAGCGCGCTTAGCGTGGCCTTCAAGATTTTCGCAGCAAAGTTTTACTCCCAAAGGCTACGCACTTTAACCAGTTCATTTGAGATACAAAAAAACTTCAGTACAAAAATTTTATAAAATATATATATTAGCCACATGAATAGCATTTTTATGAAGTTATTTTGCAATGAAGTATTAAAAGTTGTTTATGTTGATTATAGCAATATTGGTGCAGCTTTTGTGGTATTCGCTGTCTTCAATGGCAACATTGATCTTTTGTGAATTTTAAGTACACAATATCTTGATTAATTCTAAAAAAACTCATTGTTTTAGTTTTATTGAAGTCATAAAACAATTATTGCAAAGTAAAACAAAAATATTATTTTTAGAACAATCAGAATGTAGCGCTGTTATTACGAAGTGGCAACTGTACAAACGACTCTCGAACCTAGCTTTTTCTTGTCTTTTCGGCTGCGTTGAATCATAGCCTCCTATATTTTTTTGTGCCCGCGCATTAGCGCTAAATACATACGCGCCATCCGTCCCTTATAGTTTTGGCGCTCGCCGCCAGATGCCGCACTGATCCCATAATAACAGCAGACGACGCGGCCTATGCACGCTTGCGTTTATGACGGTCTAGAAACCGTCTACATTGCATTGGATTATGCGTATACGTTAAGAAGTGCGCACACACCAAATTTTTAACACAAGCACTGTATGCAGAATGCAATGTGAGCTTTGTTATTTGATTTCGCGCTCAAAGCTTGAGCACTTTTCGAGACAATGGTTTGACATGAAATCTTTTGCCAAGTCGTGTTTGTCAGTCACACTCGTCGCGAAGTTCAGAAAAAGTGGGCGGAGAAACTTCACGAGCACAACCTCCAAAAGTTTTTTATGATGTCCCGGGGTCGAGCACTGGTTTGTCACGTTTCTGTAGTATTTGCGCGGCGTTGTCAACGGCAGCCTTCAGTGGCTGATTCATCTTTCTCGCTCTTGCGAGGAAAACTTCCGCGTAATTCTTTAGAGAATTTAGAACCATTACGAGCTCAGTGACGGATACAGGAGTACACCTGGGTGGATATCTCCACATTCAATCAGAACATGCTCCGCCGTTTTCCTTATCTTTCCCGCAGCATGTGCATTGTTCTTCTTCTTTACTGAATCTTGCTTTATAACTACGCGTTCTAAGGCAACCCGATCTCGCTTCAAACAGTAAAGCGCTTCCCCTTGAATTATCGTAAAATGCCTCCCTCCTTATTTCATTTTTGCCCTTTCGGTAGTTACTCAAAGCCGGTTTTTTCTCCATAGCTGCCATCCATTCTCTCGTTTTGCGCCTCGGCGCTCCGCCAGGAGCGCTCGCATCCCATAATAGCTCGGGGGACGGCGCTGAGGGACCGACCGCTCGGGCACAAAGTTGGTTGAATGGCTTGCGTATGCTTGCACATGGACGAGTAGAGAAAGCGAAGCGGCGTCGGTGGCGTCTGTGCAGCTCCGTGAAGAAGAGAAGCGGCGATCGGTAAACTTCGGCCGCGTTTGTATATTTGTGCGGCTCATTCGTTGGCTCGGACAATTTACGTGAGTGAATAATAAGCGACGTTGCTCGGACCTGCAGCAAAATGAGCGGCGAGTTATCGATCAGGCAGGCGCTCAAGGAACGTTCACAGAAAAGGCGGGTTCTTCTCGTTCAGCAGCTGGGGGACGGCACCGCCAGCAACCTCAGTCAGATCCTCGGCAACACCAACGAAAGGGAGCAGCTCGCGCGGGATTCGAAGGCGGCTCAGGGGTCTAGCCGTGCGAATGCCGACCCTTCCAAGGATCCCAAGCAACCGAGACTCGACTGCGACTCTTCGCCGACTCATTCCGCCGACGACGATTCGTACGGTGAGGAGAAAGTGTACACCTACCGCGATTCGAGCACTTTCCTGAAGGGAACCCAGAGCGCGAACCCGCACAACGATTACTGCCAGCACTTCGTGGACACCGGACAGCGGCCGCAGAACTTCATCCGGGACGTTGGCCTGGCCGACCGCTTCGAGGAGTACCCGAAGCTCAAGGAGCTCATACGACTTAAAGACGAGCTCATTCGAGACACCGCGACGCCACCGATGTACCTCAAGTGCGACCTGGAGTCGTTCGACTTCCGCAGCCTGAAGTGCAAGTTCGACGTGATTCTGGTCGAGCCTCCGCTCGAAGAGTACCAGCGCACCTGTGGTGTCTCCTCCCACACCAAGTTCTGGAGCTGGGAGGAGATCATGAAGCTGGAGATCGAAGAAGTGGCCGCCTCGCGTTCTTTCCTGTTCCTCTGGTGCGGTTCATCGGACGGCTTGGACCTGGGCCGGCTTTGCCTACGAAAGTGGGGCTTCCGCCGATGCGAGGACATATGCTGGATCAAGACGAACATCAAGAACCCGGTTCACCTGAAGAACCTCGAGCCCCGCGCAGTGTTTCAGCGGACCAAAGAACACTGCCTGATGGGCATCAAGGGCACTGTACGCAGAAGCACCGACGGCGACTTCATACACGCCAACATCGACATTGATCTGATCATCTCGGAAGAGCCCGAGTTTGGCGGTATCGAGAAGCCCGAGGAGATATTCCACATCATCGAACACTTCTGCTTGGGCCGTCGCCGTCTGCACGTATTTGGCCGAGATGTCACCATCCGGCCTGGTTGGCTTACTATCGGACCGGATTTGACTAACAGCAACTTCAACAGCGATGCGTACAATGCCCACTTCAGTAAGGGTTCCGACTATCTTACCGGATGCACCGAACGCATAGAGATCCTCAGGCCCAAGTCTCCGCCCCCGAAGGGCGGAAAGAACGCTGGCGGACCACCTGGACTTTCCAGAGGAGGCAATCGCCGTGGAAGAGGAGCACCCAGAGGCCGCTGATATAGGGCCTCCCAATAACTGGCAACCAACGAGCGTCTTGAATTCAGTGCTCCGCATTTGAAACCCTGGTTGCAAGTTCCCAATTTGTGGAAGGCGAACTCCAGCTTTTAGATGTCGATACCCTTCCAGACAATGAAATGAAGCAGCATCACAAAACATCATCCACTCTTTGTAAGCAAAGCTGCTGCGCGAAACTATTGCAAGCACATTAAGCGACAAAGTCAATATTGCAGCCCAAGCTTTTACGAGGCATGGACGACTTACCTATACAGCATCTGAATGCCATTGTCAGGTCCTTTTCTCAGTCGCATGTAATCACTATTATATTGGCTCATCAAGGCACCATCCATTTTATCACTGTTGGCCGTTTTGTATGTGCGTGCTACCAATGTTATTCTGTGTAGCCCTACTTTTTTCATGACAGTCAGTGTGTTCTTTACATCTGCTCTACAATGTTGACATGAAGCTGCATGTTGTGTGAATATTGTGTCAAATTTCGTTCTGGTGAGAGTTTATCGACGTGCTGCTGTAAGTTAAGATGGAATCACAATTGATGTCAGTTCATTTTGGACAACCAGCATAGATATTCAACTTGTGCATTGTGGGATCGAAGTGTGGTGTGTATCTTTTATACATACAAAACAAAGTACCAAAATGGTTTTGTATATCTTTATTGTGCAGTTTCACACCTTCTCATAGGTGCAACTGCATACGACCCAGCCTCTCGCGCACGAGTGGCCCCCTTCACAACATAAAGTACAATATACACACCTGTACAAAAAGGCAAACATGGCAACATCATGATTTTCTACATTCAATAACACCAACGAGATGTGGCTGCTCAACAACTACTGAGTCATTGCGAGTCTTGCACTCCTTTATTAAAACATTTACAGAACAGTGAGAACTCGAACTGGCACAACACAAGACAAGATTCGGTGGCTTGAAAATGACAAACCATCGCATACTGTATAAAAGGTTGCCTTGTCGTGGACGCAGCAGAAAAAAGGATTATCACATGTTCACATTCCTCATAAGAAAAGTACGGTTATGTTATCACAGTCTCTGATGGCGACAAGCCACTGTGTGCATCTTCAAAAAATTAACCTCGGTAACATAGTCCAAAAGAAATTTGTGCACACAATACATCAGGACTAGGCAAAGCATACCGTGAAGAAAATGGAGTCATCCACGAAAAACGCACTACACGTGTTTGCCAATGACATTGTATCTTCAGTAATAGCGTACAGGCCAAACCGCGTATTTCTGTGGAAGTAATTGTTTAGTCTGGTGAGGGATGCACCAAAACAGTCACCTAAATGGAAATTATCGCTAATACCTGTTTGTAATTGCAAGTTTGTCATATCGTAATGTTCAATACTTAAGCGTGGTTAAGAGACGCAGGGCGAATTTTCACTGCTGGTCATATAATCTCGAAATGCATATACTGTGCTTTTGCAATGGTCTTTAAGGAGAAGCAAATATAGACAACAATAATAAAAAGCATTTATAAATGATTTGTGCGGTGATAAGAACAACCTCAACGTGCCTAACGGCGATAAACAACGCGTTGCAATATCGCTCCGAGCAACCACATTTTGTACCTCTGTCTGAGCGTTTCTTTTGTCCCACTGACATCGCGGCCTGAAAAGATTGCACTCTGGAATGTCTCGACGAGAAGATGCCACACATTCGTCATGCCGGTCACTTGGAGATCTCTCGAAGGGGAGAAAAAATGTCTTATATTTGCTGAACACATGGTGATCTCCTGCTACAAGGGCATGCTAATGGAGACGTAATGGGTGCCGTCAAGCACTATGGTATGCTGCTAACATGCACTTAGAACTGCAGAGACTATGTTTGGTACCTGTTTGGCAAAGGTCACTAGCACAACTAAGAATACCGACTATTTTCTGCTGTTTGACAGCTATGTGGCTCTATCTATGGAAATCTAATCTGAATGATTAAACCTGGGCAACTAAGGCATTGAGGCCAGCTCATAACCACTATATATTGTTCCCATAAAAGTGCCAACGTGAGCAGCTTAATGGAAAGTAACATCACATTCAAGAAATAGTTCTTTGCAAGCAAGTTGTGAAGGCCAAAACAACGAAATGCTGGCGTCCTGCACGCTACCTGGTGGGCCCATCTTTAACAAGTGGTAACCAGTAACCCTATGTAAACACAATCTCTCACAAAAATTTTTGAACAAAGTAAGTGTGTCTCGTTCCGCATTATGGCGTAGCTCCCACATTGCGAATCGGGCACGTGCGTTGCAGCATCTAAACATGTTGTCTCTGGTGGTTCACAAGACTGTGGTGTGCAAATCGTAGGGCAAAGTTCTGACTTGTCATTTCATACCCAAGGGCAGCTTCAACACCACAACGCAGATGCAAGAGCACCCAAAGAGAGCCGACACAAAAGAGCGATGCGCAAACGAGACGGCACCTTGTCTTTGTTTCATTCTGTCTGTTCCCGAACAGACAGAATGAAAGTTGAGAAAGTTGGGTGGTTGCTCACAGAGCACACCGACTCGGAGATCAGCTGTAGCTGCAACATGCTACTTCCATCTGCTCGCGTTACTGGCAAGAACAGAAACAGCGGTCCGACCGGTACTCGTCCCGCTCCTCAATGCCGTGCGCATACAGCTTGAGCAACTGGCGATGAGACCTTTGGGAAAAAGAGAACAAAGGCGAACTCATGTTTCAGCAATGCCTCAGTACTAGTTGAGCTTCAACTTTATTATTTCTTCTAGTACAAGCTAGACCTGTGCGCCGGTATTTCCACATTCGGCAGCAGCGCGTCAACATTGGATCGGCGGCAGCGTGGGAGGGGTGATCTATTAGGTAGGATCAATTAAGCATCAATATTAGGCAGGCCTAAGAGAAGACATAACTGTCACTGCAGTAGTGCTGTAAAAATACCAGTGAGGATGAAATTTTTGGCAGCATCAAAAACCTACATCGTCTCTGGTAGGGGAATACAGCGTTGTTCACGGTTCGTTTTTCTGCATTTGTGCAGTTCACATATGGAAAGAATCGTAGAGTGCTCTCTGAAGGCTATATTTCAGCACAAATTATTTTACTGGTATTTCCTTTTACAGCATGAATAATTTCAGACTTCTTTCACCAATACTTACCATCCAGCATCGCATAAGAGCTTCCTTGATTGGCAAGAGTAATTGCAGTATGGCTGAGGAAGTGTAATAATATTAGAGGTTTTGGTATATCCTAAGACCACAATATGATTACAAGAAATGCTATAGTGAAGGGTTCTGAAAATTTTCGCCCATCTTACGATTTTTAACATGCATTGGCTTCGCACAGCACATGGGCCTCTAGCGACTCGCCTCCATCGAGATGCGACCAACGCAGCCGTGATTGAAACCATGAACTTCGGGTCAGAAGCTAAGCACCGCAACAACTACACCACCATGGTGGAGGGCTGCGGATGTTTTTTTTTTTATTGGCCAACAAAGTTTACAAAAGTAGGTAAGACACTGCCATCACTATTAATTCTAATATACGGTACATGCGTACCTACAAATTTTGTGTTTACCTTCATTGCGGCACACTCTTTGCAGTTTTTGGAATATAATGCCCCTTTATATCTCAACACCAGTCTGAAAATGTCAGTTGTTTCACTGCGGTGTGTGACAAGGCGTGGCAGCACCAGATTTGCGTTCCCCAGAAAACTAGAGGAAATCCTGCAGCTTTGTTTTTTTTTTGTTTTTTTTTTTCATTTTTTTCATGGCACATGCTTTGTAAACTGGAAATTTCCGGCAAGTTGTATATCGTGCCCCAGGGGTAAAATGAGAAAAAAACTGGTCATACCACTGTAGCTATGGGAAATGCCACCTTGGTGTTTATTACGCTCACATTTTGAGCTTGACACCACAGCAACTTGCCGGTGCACTGCAGTTGAAAATGTATTTTGTTGCATGAATCTCGGAGAAAACACCTGAAACATTTTTTAAATGCCAAGCATTTCTTAGTGAACCAAAGGCACTTTCAACATTTCTATCTATGTATCTATCTATCTATTCCTCTAGCTACTTACGTCGGGATGCTCTCGCGATCCCGAGACCGAAATTGGTATGGGAGAGTTAAAGGGTTTGACAAATATGACAGTCTGGTCGTGACATGCATAAGGTAAAGATCCTGTTGCATACGCCATCGAACCCTTTCGTCCAGACGCATGTGGCATACCGATATATCATAAGTCGCACAATGCGTCTATGCACCACAAGCAGTCTATATCTACCATCGAACCAATGGCAAAAGCGAACAAACATTGGGGTAATATGAATGCAAGAGTGTTAAGAAAAACTAACGTCGGCAGTGTTGACCTGACGAATTCAAAGAATAAATCTCAGAATCCCAGCAGGAATCGAAACCAAGCTTTTTGCATGGCAGTCAGGTATTCTACCACCAAGCCACATCAGTTCTTGAAACTGCTTTAGAAAAAGACTATGCAGGTGTAATGCCAGTGCAACATCGGTCGTGGTTGCAGTGCTGGCTGTCTAGTTGCCTGACAAAATAATACATACTCATATGACACAGGTGCCGTGCCAGGTTAACCAGGAGCACAGCGAAAACTTTTTTTTGGGGGGGTGGAGCCATAGATTATGTATGTTCGTGCATGAGTTTATTTTTATGTGTGTATGTATGTACACACAAGCAAAATTGAAATTTAAAATTTAAAACTTCAATTTTTGCAATAGTGGTTCATAAAGTACCCCTGCTGAATGGAGCAGAAAAGAGAAGGCTGAGAAGAAGTGGACCACATATTATGCATAGGAGAATCAATATGCAGTAGACTTTCCTTAAATGAAATTGAATGGACCAGGAAAATTTGTTCCCTTTGACAGGAGCTCCGTTTATGGAGATAAGAATGGGAACGCAAGCTGAAGTATAATATTTGGGGCACTTATTCCTTTTAGGCAGAAATTCTGTTTACTGGTAGTCCACTGCAAAACAAAAGACAGTGTGTGTCTGTTTTCAAATCCTTATTCATCACCTTTGACCAGTGCTTTGTTCAAGGGGAGACAACGCTTTGTTCAAGAGCAGGGGTTGGAGGGTCCTCTAGCCACCATGTGCTGTTTGCATGTGTATGAGGGAGGCCGGTGTTACATAAATGTGCATTAGTTGCTGACGATGGGGTAAGAGCCACTAGCCACCAAGTCACTATGTTCAATAAACCAGGGCTGCGCCATGTATAATAGCTAAGTACCCAACAAACGGTGCAATACCAACCTAACGAGCAATGAAGCGTCTGTGAGCAGTTCCCCATCACACTGCCAGGAGCCAGTGTGCTTGACTGTGCCTTCGTCGCTAGAGTCTGGCGTTTTGGGCACAAACTCGAAGCAACTTGTTCGAAAGCAGTGAACGAAGGGAAACTTGAACTGCAACGAGAAGCAGTAAAAAAGAACAGCTCAAAACATCACAGTTGCAGGACTTGTGAACGTTAAACTCATCAGCATCTGCAAAAATATCGTGATACACAGAGATTAAACCACAGGCAAATTAAACATTGCTTTACTTTGTAGATGTCAATTAAGTTAACATCCACCGATGGCCGTGGCCACATTTTGCTCCATAACATACAGCCACTGTGGCCATAATTCGATCATGTGACCTTCAGTCACCAGAAGATGGCATACTTTAATGACAGTCCCTTTGTTTCTTGATAAAATGCCCAGGCTTCAACAAACATACGTGCAACCACAGCCCAACTTGGATTCAATGCTTGAGTCATTAAACGTGTAGGTGCATACGTGTGAAACAATAAATTGAGACTGGTCACTGAATCCTTCCTAAAGAAGTCCAAAAACAAGCCTCTCATTCTTGATGTGCTGCTACAAAGGGCATGACTTCAGGATATCATGAAAAATATGGAGTGACAACCAATAGTTGAATAGGGTGACGCTCTAGTGTTTTTTTCTTCTGTTTCTAGTAGATAATTTATAACTTACAGCAGTCTAATAAGGAGAAACGAAAAAAATATGGTTGCATAAAGAAATGCATTATCTTTTTTCCAAAGTGGTCTGTTGTACTGTCAGCATCACTTGTACAACATCATTAGGCTTTGGTAAATCACACACCCACCAGACCAGTTATTGTGCACAAACAATCCCTTATTACATGGTGCCAGCTTTCTACTGCAAATATCCATGCTGACTGAAAGTGAACCCATGAATCTGGGTCATCTTACTTATTATTCATGTCTTCAGCACTTCATCACATCCAGCATTAAAAGCAACAAAATGTGCAAACAGTTAAAGCATATGGTGTAAACTGCATTAAACATTGGCAATGACAGTGGAAATGTCGCAGAGCAGTCTGGAAGACACACTTACTGGGCTGCACGTTTCAGAATTGGCGAGGGCGACGAGAAACCTGAGAAAATTGCGTCGTGAGCACTGCGAGACCAGCACGACGTCCATGAGACCATTGCCGAGGTGAGCCGTGGGAGCCACGCCCGCTGTGCTACGTGCGCACCGGTTGGCCATGAGAGCACAGCTGACTGACAGGAAGTGGCCTTGGATGCCTAGCCAGTCTGCACCAAGAAACGGTGGAGGGAGAGAGTCATTCGGCGTTTGGTTGTGCAAATATCACCAATCTATTCAGGGCAATTCATTGCACATGCTTCTTTCTTTTATTTGTCTAGCTACACAACTTAAGTTAACGAACAAGATTGCTATAGCATGAACAGAGGACTAGAACGCGGAATCAAACAAGCATGAGCGCTGAGAAATGTCATCATATAAGCAAACTATAGCCCTAGCCACCACCTTTTCAACAAATATTTTCTCGTTTCACATGCATCAAAATGTGGCATTCATGAGACTTTGTTGGGCTTATTAGTACACGTTGAGAAAATTAGGTGCCAGTGAGACAGACAACTGGTGTGACATGAAAAAGCGCTTGCCTATGTAACTTCTCATGTTTGTCCCATAGACATCTTATTCCTTTCATTAATTAAAATGCACCAGTCATTGCTGCAGTTGAACCCTCCAGCTCAAGCAACATTCCAGCTATTGAGCTATTCAGGTAGAAGGATTACTTTAATTTACACCACATAATGAAATAAGAAAACTAGGAGTGCACTAGCCTGTGCACTCATTTACCGTAAAATGCCCAGCAAGTGCCTTCCCCCACCTACGATGACCAGATTTTGGAGGGCGGTGCTTGCTCGATTCCGGACTGGTCATTGATGCTTATATTTGGGCGCTTATTTCAGATCTCCCCCCCAAAAAAAAGAAGGGGAGGGGGGCTGGCTCGGTATTTTGCGGTAAGCTCCATTCAAACACCGACATTAGCATACAATTTAAAGTAAATGTGAAAGTAGACTTCACTAGGGATACCTCTCTTCATACCACATTCTTTTTTGATTTTTCTTGCAAAAAATATACTTCTTGAACATTGCTAAGTAAGCTATACTCCAATGTGTTGATCAAATTTAAAGAAGCATATTTCAGTTCCCCTTTTAACCCTTTGAGACAGTTCATACACAATCATGTACACCGCTTGCATTTGCTAGTTGCGTCGAGTAGCGGCTGAGAAGTGCAGCATAGTGTTGAGTATTGGACGAATTGAACCTGTGTAATGATGCCTGCATAATGAACATATCTTCATTTAAGCTAATTTTGCTGAGTACTCTTGCGTGCGATGACTTTGCTGAAGGCACATTATGTTCATTGAGTCATCCAACATGCCGCTTCTGGCAAGCCATGTCAAAAGTGCCATTTTTCTTTGCTCAAAAGTAACGTAACTGAAAACAAATTGGCGCTGTGTTTCAGGAGAGCATGCATGACTTCAGCATAAAGATACATTTATTATAATTTGATCCAGCCTAATTACTATAAATCATACAAATGAGCATATTATAACATTATTTTTATTCCAATATGCTACTGAGTGCCTTAAAACAATATTGCATAAATTTGACAAATTTTGGGACCCATCTTAATAAAACTATCTCTAAATAGACTGTTATAAATATAGAACTGTTTGAAAGGATTATACAAGTATTGTCGCTACGATCCAAGCTAATCAATGACATTGTACTGATTTATTTACATGGGTTCACTTACAGGGCTTATTTTCCAGATCGCCATCCGAGATATTGAGAATTTGAAGTGGGATGTCACCTGGTGCTGCATGGCATACCTCACATCTGGAAAAAAAAGCAGGAAAAAAAAAGAATAGTAACAAGATCATGGTTCACAAGTTGCCACTGCTTGGTATATTTCAGAGAGCGAACCTATGTCAAGAGCTTTACTGTACGATGTCTTGGAGTTTGGCGCATTTGATTTCCTTTAACTGAATCTTGGCGATTATTTGTGGCGTTTCCCCAATTTCATCTAAAGATCAAATTCAATGGCCGTCCTAATTTTTCCATCTACATGGAGCACTACACGATACATCCAGCTGTGCTCATACGCTACAATGCTCTCGACGAAAAAAATACAACCTTGGTTCCACGTACAAAGAAGTCTCATTCATGCGATTCTGTATATATTTCACGCTCCTTTTATTCACAGCCAACATTTCTCAGAAATAATACATTTACATGCATTTAGCGACTAAACTTTTGCCTTAAATTGCATAGCACGACCACCAGAGTGGATCTCGACTGACATCTAGAAATCCTACAGTTATTCTTCAGCATACTAGTCTACACTTCGTTCCGGCAAGCCATGATCTGCTCATTGCAGAGACGCTGAAGCTGCAGTGGTGCTAGTTTTGCTGTAGAACATCGCTGTTAGGTGATCTTTTTGCCACAAAAAACAAAAGACAGTACAGTGCAAATGGACCAGCTACTTCAACTTTGTTTAAAAAAGGGTGAGTTGCTGAAGAGGTATGCATGTTTTTCTCCTTTTTACAACCTCTTTTGTTAAGACAATTTTCGCATAAAGTATACAGTTTATTTTCGGTTCCCGTGAAAAGCATATCAACAAGATTCCCCTGCAAGTGTTCTTAGCATCCTGAAGCGTAGAAATATTTAATTGCACAACAAGGCAGTTTCGTAACTACGTAAGTGTAGGGTGAAGTGGGCATAACCAAAGCGGTGCCAACTCTGAAATCAAACATTTTTACTGGAATAACACAACACAATAAAGAAAACAGAGAATAGTAAAGTAGCAAAAATGTGGCTGCAAGTCAGGGAATGCAAAATATTCAGATTTTCATTATATTAAGATAATAAAACAATAACAATAGATGGTGCTATTATATTAACAATATGAGAGGCAGTTGAGATTGGGAGGAGGCAGACTAATCAGAATAGATCATCCATAAACACAAGAGGAGATCATATTAGACAACCGATGATTGCCTGATGGTGTCCTTTCTCATTTTATTTTACTTAGCACAATGAATGCATGCTTATAGAGGCATAACAAAGCATCTCATTTCACTCTGATACACACATTCAGCAGTTTTACAGGCACATCACTTGTCTTGTTTTTTGAAGCCTTATAGTCCTCGATCTCCTGCAAGCATTACCCGTTTTGGCACAAAAACTCGCCAACCTGCCATGCTATCCATTATCTTCCTCCTCTTACAACTGGTGCAATCCAAGATAGTCAGGATGAGGTGTAAATAACTGTCACAGCACTTTTAGCAAGCATTGATCTATTATGGGCTGATTTGATTTGCATCCAGCAATCATCTACCGTGTGTATATAGGGGGCCCGAGCCATCTCTAGCCAGACTGTGCTGATGCACTCCAAGATGATGTGACCAAATTCATGTTACTGACTGTTGCTTGAAATATGTCAAACCATTTGTTGTGTGCTTACCAAGTGTCTAAATAGGCATGTTGAATTATCTAACTTTTGAAACAACGAGGCTGGGCGAGAAATTTCGGTTAGAAAGTTGCGGATGAGCTTCCAAAACGTCCGATTAGACACTTCCTATAACATACTACGCGACAAGGTGTAGTATAAATTTTCTTTGTCCCTTTCTTTTTTCTTCTACGTCGGTTGCGTCCTCAACCTTTCTTCAGCATGAACCAACTAGCCCAACAACATGTTCTAATAAGCCACATTCTGTTAATCTAACAGAGTGGAAGTTCTGCATTCTGTACATCACGTGAGTTATTTTGGTTGTTGGGGCTTTAGGTTCAAAAACCGTAATATGATCATGAGGGATGCCGTAGTAGAGGGTTTGGGAAATCATGGCCACCTGGTGTCCTTTGACGTGCACCTAAATCCAAGTACACTGGCCTCAAGCATTCCACCGCATGTAAGTGCGGCTGCCACAATCTTGGGTGGCTGCCACAATCTTGGGTCCAGTGAATCTGAATCACTACACCCGCATGATGGGTATCTCTTCTTAAATAGTTATTTTTGACCGTCGTATCTGACTGCACGAGCAACTTTAGTTCACCTTCATAGACATGGTCCTCGAAGTACCAACAACGTATCTCCAAACTTTTAGAAACACCACCGCACATTTGTACAAGCAAGAGCGTAACATTCTGTATTACACCCAATAAAAAAAAATTACATACCCTGCATATCTCATTGTACCCAAGCGATCTGATTATCATCTGCCTTGCCTGCATTTATTTTCACATGAACTCTGCAATTGTTCCGCTCCTGTCAAGTATGCTACTATGTAACTCCTGTCGAGAATGCATTAAAGAGAAGAAAGGCACAAAAGACGGGTGACAATTATACTGGAGAGACAAGCTCTCCAATCATTGCAATCAATTTTCAAAGTGTAGCACTATCGTTGATTAACAATTAAAAAATGTTTTTAATTTAATATTTAACTGACCTCAAATGGTGAACTTTGCTTCATCAAGATTATTTGGATGTTGCAATGCACAGGAACTTTTGTTGACGAATATACACGAGGCTAGCAGGCCAAATACGATGATGCTTTTAAGAAATTGACAAAAGGATCGCTTGTATTACAAATGTGCCCGCTGAGCCAGCAGCAAAATAATGATGACATGATGCGTCCACCTCTTAAAGACAGCAAACGATGAGAAATTCAGAGGAACCAGTGTTATAGTAGTTCACTTAGAAGGCTGCGACAACTTCTAGTATTTTTTATTCTGAGGAACTACTTTTCTTTACTTTTATTTTATGAAAAAAGTATTCTCAAGTCAGAAACCAAGTCATGTCATTGCCGAAACGACATAAGCCACTACCCTTTACCACATGCAAAGCAAGAATGCACGCAAGAGGTAGCCTTTCGCATGCTTCAAACACGATCGTATCTATCATAGGTCGAACTCAGCCGTTACAACTCGGACATAAATCCACAATGCCCAGACTGCACAGAAGTGTACCGTTTATTCACGCACATGCTCTGTCAATGTCCGGCGTTACCTCTCTTAGCAAGTCTGACTGGGAAAAGGCACTTAGGAGCCCCAAGCTCCAACACCAACTAAAGGCAGTCCAGAGGGCCCAGCAACTGGTGGAAAGCCACCACGTTCCCGCCCCGACTCGGGGTTCGCCTACAGTAGCCGCTGCTAGGATGTTCTTTGTGGACGCCCTTGGCGGCTTAAACTCCTCAGAACCTTTTAATAAAGCTCTTTACTGACTGACTGACAAGTTAGCAATGCCATGTCAGTGTTCCCTTTATCTATAATATTGTCAGTGTCCGACTTGCTTAACATTAGGAAAGAACAGAAGCGCGATCCAGTGCTGCTTGACATCATCAGCCGCATGGAATCCTCCCGAAATGATGCTCCGTCCACTACTTTGTCATACAAAAGGGTGTGCTATACTGCCGCAATTTCCGACCTGACGGGCCTGACCTTCTCATTGTTGCGCCAAAGCATTCGCGGCGCTGTGTTCTCACCGAACTTCACAACGCTCCCACGGCTGGACACCTTGGCGTATCCCGCACGTAGGAGCGCATCCGGCGCCATTTTTTCTGGTCAGGCCTTGCTCGCTCGGTACGCCAATACGTCGCCACGTGTGACCTATGCCAATGCCGTAAAACAGTGTCGCTGCTACCAGCTTGCCATCTTCAACCAATCGACATACCCGCGGAACCATTTTACTGTGTTAGGTTAGACCTGCTTGGTCCTTTTCCCACATCAACATTGGGAAACAAATGGATAGCCATGACTACTGATTACGCTACACGCCACGCTATTACGCGAGCTCTACTAACGAGCTGTGCAACCGATGTCGTTGACTTCTTGCTACGGGACGTTATATTGATTCACGGTGCTCCGAGACAACTCCTCACAGACTGTGGCCATACATTTCTATCCCAAATCGCCAACATTCTGCATTCTTGTTCCACGCAACACACACTGACAACAGCTTACCACCCTCAAACAAACGGCCTCAAGGAACGATTTAACCGTACTCTAACAAATATGCTCGCTGTGTACGTGTCGCCCGACCAAGGAGACTAGGACCTTGCCTTACCCTACGAAATTTTTGCATATAATTCATCCCGTCACGACACAGCGGGCTTTTCGCCGTTCTTCTTATTGTACGGAGGAGAGCCGACTTTACCACTGGACACAGTCATCTAAGCTCATACCTCGTCCACCAGTGAGTATGCCCGCGACGCTATTGCGCGAGCCGATCATGCCCGTCAGCTCGCCCACGCTCGGCTGATGGCGTCGCAAACCAACCAATGCTGTCGGTACGATGGGGAACATAGAGACATATGTTTCGGTCCCGGTACCCTCATTTTACTCTGGTTCTCTCATCATCAGCTGGGCCTATAAGAAAAAATTTTGTCTCATTACACGGAACCTTACCGTGTAACACCTTTCACCAATGAGATCAGCCCCATCTATCCACCATCATCTGCTGTGCGGTCCAGTGATATTGTACACGTCTCGCGGATCAAGTCCTACAAGAATGCGTCAGATAATGACCTTTAGAGCCCCGGGATGGTGCCTCTGCTGCTGGGGGTCAAGCTACGTGCCAGTGCATGGAGATGAAGAAGACAAAGCAGATAGGCTGGTGCGAGCTAATCTTTGTGGCTGGCGCTTCTCGCTTAACCAGCCGTAAATACATTTGTGACTACTCCTCCGAGTCGGTCTCCTTCTCATAACAGTATCGACTACCTCAAATCAGACTGCTGTTCAAACAGCCCAAACTTCTGTCTTCAACTTTAACTGCCATTATTGAAATATTTTATAATGCGATGCCTCAGAGTGACACTGAGAGAGAGGTATGCACGACAAAGAGCGAATGAATGCAATTGCAAACACGCCAACAGTCGATTTTCCAGAAGCAAAAGGAGGAGGACGAGAGAGCACAGCGTGCCACCCACCCTGCTCGACATCGGTCAGAGCCTGCGGGGTCATAATTAGCGTCGGTCGTCTCTGGCTGCACGAGCAACTTCATTTCTCCTTCATAGACATGGTGCTTCAGAAAGGTTTGCCAGCCTGCAATGAGTCAACAAGTCAAACAAGCAGTCAATGAATCAATCAGTCAAGAGGAGCTTAATTTGATGATTGATTGATTTGTGGGGTTTAACGTCCCAAAACCACCATATGATTATGAGAGACGCCGTAGTGGAGGGCTCCGGAAATTTTGACCACCTGGGGTTCTTTAACGTGCACCCAAATCTGAGTACACGGGCCTACAACATTTTTGCCTCCATCGGAAATGCAGCCGCCACAGCCGGGATTTGATCCCGCGACCTGCGGGTCAGCAGCCGAGTACCCTAGCCACTAGACCACCGTGGCGGGGCAAGAGGAGCTTAATTTAGCAATCGTGCAACATGACCAGATGTTCGCTAGAACTGTGTCACACAGCGTAAGACCTGCACATAAGTATTTTCAATAGAATCTTGGCTCCACGGGAATAGTGAGCGAGTAAAAACTTTATTGAAAATGACCGGTGGTATTTATCGAGGTGGGGCTACAAGCACCCGAGCCTAGGTGACGGCCTCAAGTCCTTGGACATGGGCGGCTTGCCGGACTGCCCAAAGTTGATCGGCGAGATCACGACTGAGCAGAGCCGGCGTCCCATCGTGCCTCGTGGTTCGAGACTGCCACGTCTACCTGGTTCATAGGGGACTGGTGCATGCTACCCAAAATTTATTTTTTCTTGGGGAGGAGGGAGCAATTAACCTCTATGCGTGTATGCATGTAAGTATTTGTGTTTTAATGTAATTTAGACATGCAAAACTGTGGAGGACGGTTCGATCAACACCAATGCTTGGCTGGGTGTTGCTTTCGCATGACTAAAACACTTGACTCCCGAGTAAAGTTGCAAGTAAGACTGGTACAGCCAGTAATCTTTGTTGCACAGGCCCATCTCCACAAACAGGCATTGGTGGTTTTGTACATAGCCATTGCCATGTCGTTTTATGTAGGTACTCTAAACAGTGGATAGAAGTTCGGAAGGGGGAGTGGAGAGGATCAGTGGCCTAAATAATGGAGGAGTCTGAGGGGCCCTGACTCTCCTTGTTCGCAGGCTGGGGGCACATTCCTTTCAAGTGTCCCCCCTTGAAATTTTGCCGTCAAACAACATATATATCCTAATGGCTTGACAGTATAAGTATAGAGGCTTAAACTTTGTTAATGCCTGGATTTTCTTTCTTTTTTTTTTTTTGTCACATCGGCTCTACAAAAGACACAGCAGAGCAATGCAATCACACGAGCTGGGAACCCATGTCCGTTTTTCAATTTTATTTCAAAGTATGATTATATTTTGAGACAGTAAGCGAAACATCAAAACCTACAGCATTTATAAAACAAAATGGCTGCCATGGCAAGATGTGTGTGCCCCTTGTGTTTTTTCGGGATATATGCCAATGGGGAGCACACCTGCCTGGTGTTCCAACCCCCCGCTACATCCATGACAATGGCATACAGAGTACCAGTATACCACATCATCTTTCAAAGTGCACACACACTTATTCTGGATTCAGACCCACCAATCAGGATCCACTTCATTTTTTCACCTCCTCTACTCATTATCATGTTGCTCCTGTCACTATCAAAGCTAACAAACTCATCAGCACAGTGCTATCCATCTATTTTGTTAACATTCCAGCAAAGTTATTGCTAACTTTTATTCACAGTTTGTAGAGCTACCAGAAGAGATGCAGTCAAAACTTGATATTTTGTGATACCTTTTATTTTTCTTTCGTTTCTTAACCTCGATAGTTGGGCGTAGATCTTCACAAGTATAATATGGCAAACTATTTGGGAATCACAACACAGAATACTGTATGACACAAGCAGACAAGTATATCTTTGACCAACAGAGAAATAATCTCGAGCCATTCAAGTTATAAAGAGAATATATACGTATATTATTAGTCACATCACAGCACAAGCTGGGTTTTTATGCTAACTCCTTGAATGTGAAAACAAGCACAAGCACTTGAATAATTTCTATCCTAGCAGTACTTAGTGAGAATGAGACCACAATGAAATGGTGACTCAACACATAATGTTTTAAGTCTGTAGTGACACGGTAAATCATTAAAGCTGCCCACAGCGGTGATCTAGTGGTTATGGTGTTCAAGTGCTGATGCAAAGGTTGCACGATAAATTCCGGCCACGGAGGCAGCATTTCGATGGATGCAAAATGCAACGGCCTTGTGTGCTTCGTTAAAGAACTCCAAGTGGTTCAAATTTCCAAAGTTCTCTATTACAGGATCTCTCGTTATCATGCTGCAGTCTCACAACTTCAGAACTTGATTGATATGTGGGGTTTAACGTCCCAAAACCACCATATGATTATGAGAGACGCCGTAGTGGAGGGCTCCGGAAATTTAGACCACCTGGTGTTCTTTAACGTGCACCCAAATCTGAGCACACGGGCCTCCTTCATTTCCGCCTCCATCGGAAATGCAGCCGCCACAGCCGGGATTCGAACCCGCGACCTGCGGGTCAGCAGCCGAGTACCTTAGCCACTAGACCACCGCGGCGGGGCCAACTTCAGAACTTAAACACCGAAAATTATTATTAAGATGTTAGAGCTGTGACATTATTATGATCTGTTGGAATAATACATCAATTAGTTACACAAATATACCTTTAGATATCGTAAAATTATGTTTGCAGTAGTTATTCTCACCTTTCTAATAAACAAGGTGAGGCGAAATTTTCAGAACTTAGGATACCATCTGCATTAGACCTTTTGCACTTAAACTGTGCTGAAGTTCAGTCCTCTGACACCATCAATTACTTCATAACTACGCTACAGCAGTCTACTTCATGCCCTTAATAATCTCTTTAATTGATCAGCGAATCAGCCAGGAGCAAATGTCCATGCAAAATGAGCCAGAATATATCCAGCAGCTAAAAACACTGAACATAATAAACTTTCATACAATTTACAATCTACTAAAGCAGCCTACTCATGCTTATATTTGAATGGCATTTTGCCGACTGTTACTTCATCACAAGTGGCGATAAATAGTCTGCACAAGCGGGCTAAAACATAGTTTACATTAAACTACAAGACAAGAATAATGTACCACAGCCTGCATTAGAGGTACGATACATGAAACAACACTTTGGTACAGTAACAAGATATCTTATTCAAATTTTCTTTTCGGCATTTCCCAACGTTGATAATAAAAAGGTGAACAGCATGCGTTCAGAATGTGCTGTAAAACTAAAGTATATACAAACCAGTCCAGTTATATCGCAATGGTCCCATCCAGCGAAATTTTTCGCTGGCTTTGATGTTATCTCCGAAGAAGCCATAAGACAGGAATCCCGATGAGTACCGCACCAGGCGGTCACCGCTGTGAATGCTCGCAACGTCGACACCTATTTCAGCACCTGTAATACAAAAATCAACTGCTGGGACATGTGAAAAATATGCGCTACTTGCAGCAGCAGTTCTTGACATTATTAAAGTGGTGCTATGGATGATAAAATATTAAGCGAAGTTGTAGTAATATGCAGTAGTGCTACAAAATGTCTCATAATTAGTATACCTGGCTTTAACTTTAAAGAAGTACTGACATGAAAGTTACAGTATTTTTTCTTCGTCATATGTAGACTTGTGCGAATGGTGAACATTACGTTTGAAGCTAATAGTGATTTTGGTAGAATTCAAATAGTATATATGCCATATTATAAAACAAAATTGTCATACTTGTCATGACCCAGCTAATCTTTACAATCTCTAGACTGTAAAGTACGGCTACGAATGATCTATGAGCATGTTTTAGCATTGCCAAAGCTGCATATATATGCTGCACGACGGCAAATACGCAAACCCAATAAATGTATAACTCGTATTATCGAAGACCTCATACGTCATAATGAAAACAGCGAAGATTTTCGTTTCTCACCAACTTAGCACTCACCAACTTTACGACTCGATCTTTATCAAGTGGCAAGACGCATTACAAGTTGTGTATCGGGTTTAAAAAAGCAAAATAAGTATGCAAACACGTTGTAGGCATCAGATGCAGAACGAGGTAACTGCGCAAAATATTGTCTATATAATTAAGTTATCGGGATTGAAATCGCAGAAACTTTCAGTGGGTTTTGAGCAGTGTTGTATGCAGAAATTTCTTGGTGGGGGGGGGGGGGGGGGCACCTCACTGATCTAAAGTGGGGGCCGGGCAGGCGAACGGTCATTTTGCGCTATGTATGCATGGCTAAAAACATTTTCTGTGTGAGCGAAGGGGTGCATGGGTTGGGAGCGCCACCCCCCTGGCTACACTCCTATTTATGAGGAACGACGTAGGGGAGAACTTCACTTTAATTTTCACTGGCATTTGTTGACCTCAGCCCAACACCCGGCAAAATGTGTTTTCTTGTTCTTTGGGTTTCCTTTTTTTTCCATATCTGATCAGAATTTTGTGCATTGAGAGAGAATCCCATTTGTGAGATTGCACACAGCAGCTCGAATTCATGCTGCCTCCAAAGCAGTACCACGTTTAAAACTGCAGTGCACATGTCGTGACCGAAATTGAGTATGCTCACACTTTTGCCATGCAAATATTTCTTAAAGTGCCAGTCACCGTGAACATGCAGAACGTTCGCTTTCGAACAGGATAAGATTTTTCTATGGCTGCCATCTACGATGAGCAAGCTACAACTTTAGAAAACAGCGATTCGCAGAAATTCCTGTCAACGAAATGTCGAAACATGCAGCGCTGCTGTGCAGAAGGATGTTGTCAGATGAACTTCTTGCCAGCCAGCACTCGGGCCGAGGAAGGGAATGGTGGGCGGGGCGCTCGCAGTGACGTCACTATGTTTGCAAACGGGGAGCGGTCTATTGGAGACGCGTTTCTTTTTGTACGACACAGCTGTAGTGAAAACGTTCAGATAATGAAGGGTACGAAAGGATAAGGGACGTTGGTTGTATTGTTCAAAGTATATTGCAATAATTGTGGTATAAATCTGAAGAAAGTACTAAAGTGAAAAAATGACAACTTGTCACCAGCAAGGACCGAACCTGTGACCTTTGAATAGAAAACCTAACATTGCATTGTTTGTATATTTAATTTTGCACTGTACGTGAAGCTCATCCTGCTTAAGCCAAATGTTAGCTTGCAGTAGTTCACATAAATAGATAAACAACATAGAAGACACCGTGCGTCACACGTCACAGCAGTGCAGACTTATGCAACCTCCCTGAAGTAATGTTCATATGAGCCCGCCCCATCCAGCGAAAGAAGGGGTGTGCTTTTACTGTGCAAACGAGCCCAATTGATTGATATGTGGGGTTTAACGTCCCAAAACCACTATATGATTATGAGAGACGCCGTAGTGGAGGGCTCCGGAAATTTAGACCACCTGGGGATCTTTAACGTGCACCCAAATCTGAGCACACGGGCCTACAATATTTCCGCCTCCATCGGAAATGCAGCCGCCGCAGCCGGGATTCGAACCCGCGCCCTGAAACGAGCCCAATTCACCCATAGCAGTGAAACACTACCGTAACAGAATAATTTAATTTGGACTGATAAATTATGCTCTATATACTCTGGTACAAGTAATTTCACCAATATAGCCGATTAGCAGAGGAGAAATTGAACTTCAAAAGTTTTGCTTTTAAACATCTAGCCGAAGTCTTTGATGATAATGTCACATATTTCAAACTGTCTTTTTTTTGGCTACATTGTTTTAACAAAGTTTAAAATTTCCTAAAACTTCATGGATTAAATAGCTGGCTCTCTTAGAAGACTATATACTTCAGATTTAATAATTAAGAACTTCATAGGCCCTAGTGAATAATTCAAAATCCATGACCTGGAGGCGATTTCTGTGAGAGCTTAAAAGTTACGTCAACCCCACACTTTCTTTTCATAGGTTTTTTTGCTTACTAAGCGTCTTGTCGCAGCCAGTGTAGTGTTTCTGATATATGTAGTAAAAGAGTGATTTCTTAATATGAAAAAAAAAAAAACAGTTTTTCTTTTCTGTGTTTTTTTGAGCGAGTATAACATCTATGTTCACCCATTGCTATGAGGAGTGCTGATGTCACGGGGCTGTTTTCTCCCGTTGTGGTGCAAACCAGAGCATCCGTGGAGCCAGCAGGAATCACACCGATCTTGATCGTCCCCGGCTGAAGCCGGGAATTCGGGTCGTTTGCATCAATACCGGCATCGCGCTGCGCCCTCAGCAGCACGCCATTGACGATCTCGTTGACCATGCCGTCACCGCCAACACACACGACGCTGCATAAAGGCGCATTGACAGAACTTTAGACATCACTGCATGAGTAACGCAACAGGCCTTACGCACAGCTGAACTATTCAGAAGGGGTAATACAGAGCTACTTGCTCGTACAATATAGTGACATTGAAGCGATATATTATATTCAGTCAACTAGTAAGAAAAGCAAAGACAGCTTGTATGAATGCATTGTAAAATAGTGTGAAATACGGTTTAAAGTTAGCACCTGTATCACCTGTATATATTTTGTGTATATGTTTCTATGTTATCAGTAAACTTGTCAATAAACAATTAAATGAATAAGTTCATTTTTGTTTATTTACGTTTACTGTAGGTTGATGGGTTGACAGCTAGCCAAGAAAACAAGAAGCATTATATGTGGCTGCATAGAAACAGACACATAACATTTATGTTAAGAATAAACAAGTGACATAGTAGGGTGACTTAATGTTGAATTCCCATCCAGTCAAACGGAGGTTTAATAAATTCAGGTGCACCAAACATTCTTGAAGCAAGAATGAACCAAGTAAAACTGGCAGGTTCAAGATAGTGTAAGTTCGTGGCAACACAAACACAATGTATTTCTAAATTAACTGTACTGTATAGAGCTGTTCATTTTATGAATCTCCTTCTCTTATATCTACTTCTATTTTACAGAGCCTATCGCCATAAAGTTAGAAGGTACAGAGCATTAAGGTCAGTTCAGAGTTATCAAATATGCAATCCTAGAACAATTCTCCGACATACTCTAGACAACTAGCCACTTGTTCACTGCCATACAGGTTTGTGTTTTTTCTCACAGAGAAGGCGCAAGAGCTAACAAGGCTCATTAATCTATGACAAATATAATTATCATTAGGCACACTGACTCTGCATCAATGTTAAAGCACTCATGTGCACAGGACACTGAGCTGGTTCATTCCAACTAGGCGCTGCGTGACTCATGAAATTAATTTGGGCACAAGTAGACGACACTTAGGTCTCAAATGCACAAGTATAACATTCAGGCAACCATGATTCTGCTCACTACCTTCATTCTAGTGAGGCTTCGGGCAGACTGAATTTGTTGTACATGCTTCTTTCTTCGACAATGTGTTTGAGAAAGCAGAACACTCGAAAGGGCAGTTTGAGCATTCTGAAACTCAGGATAAGAAATAGGAGCACAAATATGGTATGCATTTGTGAAAATGGCTCTACTTCCTTAAGGTGGCGGTCCCACTCCAGTGGCAAGAGCTCGACATTTTAGTCGTTGTTTACTGGCTCACTGTGCTTGCTCTGCTCAATGGAAGAATATGAGTTCTATTGCATTAGAAAGTTTACGTTCTCCGCTTTCTAATGACAACTAGTATTTTCGCCTAGTCTGGAGTGTTATTTCATGGCAATTAAAACAGTGTGAGCAAAAAACAGCGTTTTTGCTGTACAAGCCTCCGTTGTACTGCCAGTGCAGCAAAACTGTCCAACATAACGAAATGAAATTTGCTGAGCCTTTTAACGAAGCGTTATGCAAGGTTTCTATGAAGAGATATTGCCAGTAAAGCAATTAGAAATTGGTGCACGCTCTAATAAAAATGGGCAAAAGAATGAAAGTTTATGAGTAAATAACTTTTTTTCTATTTTGTGCAGAACAACAATATTGAATGGGTTTCCAGGCTACAATGTACATTATGTGTACGCGAAGTTGTTTTGTGTTCTAATGAACAGTTCTTGAATTATTACTCCTTCAATACGGCAATTTATGGCGCTACTTGGTCAGGCATTACCGACGAAGGGACAAAACTATCCAAGCTGAAACTCTGAAATCTTCAATAATAAATCAGCAAGCCTTTCCCTAGGTTTCTATGAAGAGAAAATTGTCGTAAGTTAATTAGAAAATTTGTAGGACAGCAGTGAATTTAGCTCATTTTTCTTCTTGCCAGGTTCGTGCAAATTTCCTTTTTCTGTCTTTTGTAGGCTAATTCACAACAAGTATTGCACATTAGCAGGACCATGTAGTGTCTTGTAATCACCAGTACTCACTAACTTTACGAAGCGGTGCTTGAAACAAAAGATTTTTCAAAAATAATAAAGCTCGCAAACACTTTTTGACGGTGGCGCCATCTGTCAAAAAAACCATCAAGTTGTTTCATTTCAGTTCCGATGTTCGTCAAAAGTGGCGCTTCTAAACATAACTAAGCCGCCAAAACACGGATGGACTTCTTTAGACTTCAGTGGCTAAATCCTGCTGAAAAAGAAAGAGAAGGAGAGAGAGAAAGGAAGAAGGGAATAAAGCGTGTTGCACTGTACATCAGGAATGCATAGCCAGCAGGTTAGGCTATTGTGCCAAAGATTCCAGGAATTGCTTGGTTGCTGGCCTTTGTACTCAGGTGACTGTAGAAGCGTTTTTGAAGGACACAAAGAACTGGACCTTGCCTCCCCATATTTTTGAAGCCTGTAGGACATTATCTGAAGCGCGCTTTCCCATCGCAGGGAGGTGACGAGTGTCTGGCAGTGTATGTGTGTTTAAATATTTCACGTGACGCCGGTTGAACTAGGATAACAATGGACTTTTTTTCGGGAGACTAGCCTGCGCATGCGAAGTGGTGCAAGTGGTGGTGACTTGACGCCATGTTTTGGGGGAGTAACAGAGCCAAACAGCTTCTATAAACGTTGCACAGGGCGGCGACAGGTGCGAACTGAAGGGCACCTGGCGTCGTTTGCAAATTATCCCGAAAAATACCAGGCCTACGAGATTTTTCTACCGGGCCGTGGCGGATAACTTCGGAGGCCACGGACTCCCAGTTTCGATTTCGGTGATCTCCACTGGAGGCGCTGTTCGGACCTGAAAAAGGCCCATTGACTCTGATGATTTGAGGCTGATCCCTTTGTATCGGGCGGGCAAGATTAATTCGCCCTAATACCCTCTAAACTAGCTGAGGCCTCTTGACGTCATCACACTACGACGGGAGCGGATGCCGCGTTCTCAGAAATGCCCATTGCTACGCGCTAGTTGTGTACTCAACGGCGCGCTGCGAGTCCATTCGTTCGTGCTGTCTCCCGTTTCCCGAAAGCGCTGACAAGGCAACTCCGTCGTAGAGGGTGTTGCACCTGGCGCTCACTTTGCAAATACCTGTAAAACTTCTGCTTCCCTGACTGCTTTTCTCGCTCTAAACGTGTTCACCACTCCACATTCATACGAAGGGGCAGGATCAGCACCAAGACTTCTCAAAACGTACTTCAGGAATGTCACGCCTCATTGTAAGTTTCCTCTTCCACTGAGAGAAAGGCGAAAACGAAAGAAAGGAAAGACAGGGATTAGTGGTAAATGGGAAAAAAATTATTCGTCTGCTAGTCTGTGGTTGAGGCTTTCGTGTGGAAAACAAGCTTACTCGCATATGCGCAGTAACTCTTTTGCAAGCCGTTAGTTAGGGAGCCATGAGTAGCTTCTGAATGTAGCGACATAAGTATCAAGCGGACCATGCGCGACACCCACACTACATTCACAGTCGAACCAAAGCTGCTGACAGTGGAGAAATCTATAATTACTATGCACGTGCACAAGGTCGGCGTTGTTCCACGCGACCCAACACTGCCGGTATTCAGGGCCACTGAAGAACTTCCTCGAGAACTACTCTTTTTCTACTCTTTTTCTTTCTACTCTTTTTAGCGAGGAAGAGAAAGAGTTGGTTCAGAAACCAAACCATTATTTCCAGCAACCCTTGCGGCAGCGCGGTTCAGCGCTCTATTGTAAATAGTTATAGGTTACCAGGAGAGAGAGAGGCACCTCTTTTCCGGACAGTTGCACGGGAGTACAAAGGCTCTCGGGTCCGTGCCTTTTTTTGTTGCTGTTGTTGTTATTGGGGAGCGGGGGGGGGGGGGGGGGTCACGCACATTTGAAACGTTTCAAAGGAGATATGGGAGCAGCCGCACCCCCGAAAAGAATGAATTAGTTCCAGCAGGAACAGGCTCTTCGCCACTGCATGCTACGACGGCGGAGAGTGCATTTTCCTCCCTTTTTTCCAAACGTGACTTAGTGGCGTCTTCTGGTGGCTCAAGCAGAAACTACTCGCAAGATGGCGACGGTGGTACCGTCACCTTAAAGGGGCCCTACAACAGTAGAGGCTCCTGACAACACGCGAGCCAAATACTATAGCGCAGCACGCGACCTGGAATTCACTACCTAAAAATTGCTTTCTCTTCTGTCGACAAATGATGGAAGACGCTCGAAAATCACTCCCAGAAAGCCCATCTATCAGCCATTGGCCGATTTGAACATGGCACGCTCGTTCGTTACAGAGATCGCTGCGGGAGGCCGCGACTTGTCTATGCGTGCACTCGATCACACTTAAAAAGCCACGCATTCGAAGAAAAAATAAAAAGTGCTCAAGGTCACGAGCCGTGCGTGACGTATTCTCTTTGCCCCTGCCATCCCTTTCTGCTTAGCTTCCAGCGCTTCCGTCAGGACACGCGAATAGAGAATGCAATTGCAGCATGTGACAAATCTTTGTAACTTTACTCGCACTAGCTGGAGGGATTCTTAAAATTTTTGCTGCATTGCATTTGTAAGGCAATAAGCTCTTCCATGAATTTGTTTCATGGCTACTTGAAAAAGTGTTTCAGGGCCCCTTCAAGTGTTTGAACATATGCAATATGGTGAAGTAATAACATACCCATCAAAGAGAGATAGGTCCATTTCAAGAAGGCATTCCTTGGCATGACCCGCATACCTTGTCGCTGCACAAAGGTAAGAAGAATGACAACAGTCGCATTAAGCTTGTAAAGCAAAAGACACATCAGGCTGCAGATATTTATTGCATCTGAAGAGGCAACCGTGACGAAACATTTCTTAGAAATAACGCACTGTTGCTATACGTCCATATTGCAATCTCTATGTGACTTCTTTTGCCAGATGAGCACTGCTATGTGGTGGCTCTGTTCACAGAAAGGTGTGCAAACCTACTTGCTTGCTGCGTCTGAAATTTCACGAATTTCATTGCTAACCATACACAATGTTTCATACATAACTGTCAACACTGTCAGGGCTACAGTGAGACTGCTTGTAGTAGCTGCATTTGTGGCAAGAAATAGAGCAGTGCTTTTGCAATCAAATATGTTAAATTGCTTTTTTAATCTGAGTGATAAGTGAGAATAGTGAGAATATTTGAATAGCGGACTATACCGGTGAGATTTAGGTTTGATGAAGAAACATTCTGTTCACTCTAAAAGAGACAGGGCATGTAGACACAGACACACAAAAGAAGTCAAGGCACCACAAAGGCGTCTGCGGTGTCCTGACGTCCTTCTTGTGTACGTGTCTACACGCCCTGTCTCTTTTAGAATGAGCTGTTTCTTGTTCGCACCAATTCACTCAATAAAGCGCTACTCTTTGTTCACACTCTCTTGCAATGTATTTCAATGATCATAAGCAGCTGTCATAACAACATTTGGTTGAGGAGAAACCAAAGATTCGCTTGATAAATATGTTTACGATTGGGTGTACGTGTCTGAGCGTCTTAAATTAGTGAAATCTGTTCCTGCTATCTGGCAATGTGCCCAGCTTGCTCATTCACTGATGCTCTCTATTAGCAAGTGTAGAGATGTGCCTCATTGTATATATATATATCTCCATCAACAGTCGCGTGGCTTAAATTGAAGTGACTGGCACAAATGCTTTGACAGGGATAAAGAACAAAGGATGCGGACAAGCGCACTTGTTTATCGTGGGTTTTTCATCCCTGTCCAAGAAATCGTGCCAGTCAATGCAACTTCAGCCATGTACACCCTAGCCCGACAGGAAACATTACTAAGCTAGTAATCACACTTCCTGTTTCAATGCTCTTAATATAGCTATGCTCTAACATTCCATGAACCACGCAGAATGTTCTCTATGTTCAAAATCCACTAGAAAAGCTGTTCAATGAAAGCTCATACTATTGTATTCCATCATTCCAATGAAAATGTAGAGTGGAGTGTTTCGAACACTTAGTTCTAAAACTGGAAATTCTGAACAACCGAATGACTCGTCAAATAGAGGCAGCATGCAAAGGCCTGCACGTAATCTACAGAATGGCTGTTGCTATATTTCAAGCCCAGCTGCAGTAGGTTCTTATTTATGCATCATGTTTTAATGTGCTAGAAGAACGATACCTACTGATTAATTCCACAGAGATGCCAGCCATTTGGAATATGGGTGCCACCTTGCGTTGGTAGATGATGGGTGCTCGTTTTCGACCTCCAAAAGGGTTAACAAACACAAGCAGCTTTCGTGGCCTGTCTACTCCTGTCAAAACAGAAAACAAAGATATTTCCATAAAGTTCAGCTTGTAGATTAGTATATAACCAGTGCTTTGGTTAACAGGCAAACTAACAGAGGCAGCCAGTGTAAGTATGTCAAACTTATGCAGCATTATTTCAAGGCCCTCAGTATGATTTCGAAACAAAAATCATGTGATGATACATTGATTCCTACATTTTCTAGCAATTAATCCTATTTAAACTGTAAGTAAACTACTACTTATCCTCAAGCCAATCTTTTTTTTTTTTTTTTGCTGAAATGTTCACAAATCTATGAATACAGGGCCATTTCATTTTTGGTTACATTCATTTACAGTTAGGAAACGCAGTTTTGAAGCGGCTAGCGAAAAGTGGCACATTGAACAGCTCATCAAGCATGGCAGCACATTAAGTGATCATATAAAACAGTACACCACAAAACGAACTTAAGTGAAGACGCATCTATTATTCAAGAGGTTCACATCATCTAAACCTCAATTTACCTTGCTCTTTCTTACCCACTAGTCAACACAAGAGAAAAAACAAGTTATATACACAAAAGCATACAAAGAATCCAAAAGTTCTTTTGTTCCCTGAAAACACAATAAAGTTTTTCTTTACAAATACACAACTTACTATACATGCATCAGAAGACCGTAAAATCAGTGATGTGACAGCAGGTCAGCGCCAGATGAAGGTAGAAAAGTTTGCGTGCAAACTGCTTTCTTGCAACTGCTCACTTGCAAGAGGCCCTACAATGGAACTATAATGAGGAATTAAGTAATGTGCCAAAGTATGTTAAGATACAAATGATGCAAGTACAATGTCGGACACATTCTTTCCCGCTAGTATCTTGTATCTGCATATCAGATACTTCACATCTTCGTATCTCTTATCATGTCTCAATGCAAGTGCAAGGTATCTTTGCCCAGCCCTGCTTTTAACCAGTAACGTGCGAGAAGAATGCCATAGTTGCTTTGCAAGTGACTATAACTTGAATTGTTAAACATTTACGATGATTTTAACAGCTTTGTTTCGTGTCAAAGCATATTACAGTAATCAAAGCGATACTTTTGCTTGTCAAACGTAGGCCCATATTATGGTAAACCTGTGTGGTCTGGGACCCACAAACTAAAACTCTGTCTGACATGCTAGAATATACTGTCCAGCCGAATTTGTCTGTTGTAATTATTACTTTCCTTTGAGTACTACACTTAGGGTAGGTTGGGTTGGGAATTATTCAGCACAGGCAGGAAGGAATACTAGATCAGAAATGCTATTCAATTTTTTTTTTCTGGTATATGTTTAAAAAAGATACTCCCTCTTTTCATGTCTCATAGGAGTGACCACTTTTAAAAAGTATGGAAAATTACTAGTAGAACAAAGGTCTTTCAGCACTCGTTCATCCCACACATGATAATCAGTTACCACAGCAAATTGCGGATTACCGCACCGAAGGTTCATTAAAAATATTACTGCTAGATGTATAACAGTATGAATGTCTTTTTGCAGTTCTGTTGTGTTAAGTTCATTTTTGTCAGTTGTCTGTTGATATGTAAACCTGTCCCTGCAATAACATATTCAAGCACTGCAGGTATTTAAGATTAATAAAATGAAATAAATAAATATGATCATGTATACGGCACTTTTGTAAACAGAGGTATGTAATTGAACTTCACCTTGTATCAGTCACTCGATCTACTTTTCTGTGTGAGGGGTGAAAATATTTCGAGAGAAAATTTCTTGCCATAAGCTGAAAATTAAGCTAGTGTAGTTAATATGTCATCGTGCGCTTTGTGACCCCGCCCCCCTCACCAACAGTGAGCGTTTACCGCATCTCACAAGCAGGAAAGTGGGCACACAAACTCCCGTATTCGATTGATTTGTGGCGTTTAACGTCCCAAAACCACGATATGATTATGAGAGACGCCGTAGTGGAGGACTCCGGAAATTTTGACCACCTGGGGTTCTTTAACGTGCACCCAAATCTGAGCACACGGGCCTACAACATTTCCGCCTCAAAACCCCCGTACTCACAAACACTCCTCGACTCGACTTTCACCCTTTACTTGACAGAGCTGCGCACTGCGCCGCTGCTCGGATGAAAATGACACTGCACTACTCAAGAACAGCAGCAAATTGTCACTGATATGCAGTGACTTTTCCTGTCTATAGATGGCGCTCTCTTCGGCTTTCTCAACGAATCCGCAACCTTACTATTTAAGAAAAAAAAATAAATCGTTTTCGGTTCATTAAGTATTATTACGTCTTGGTGGCGCTAGCAACCGCCCGATCTAAAGGGTACAGCCATATCCATCCATCCATCAAGTGAAGGTGGAGCGTTGAGTGAAGGGACGTTCTAGAATACGGGGGTAAGCATACGCGCACTGTACTTGTACCTCTAAGCCTGTCCTGCACCGCGTCGGCCCACCGGTGTGCCAGCGCATGATCGCTGCTCCTGCCCGAGACGCCCCGCAGCACCAGGGTCTGCAGGCACCACGAGTGGCTGCGCACGGGGTTGGCCACGTGAAGCCTCAGCGCGGGGTCGCCGAGGGACACGCGGCCTCCGCCCTCGTAGCCCGGCGTCGCCGTCGCCGTGCCGCCCCCATCGGCCGCCGACGTCACGAGGCAGGCGGCACTGGCGCTCACTGGCGGCGCTGCTCGTCCATTGCTGGTGGCGCGCGTGTGGCTGCATCCGCCGCTGCAGCAGGGCCAGGCCTCGGCGGCCACGACCCTCGACAGAGGAATGAATAGGTCGTCGTCGGATTCTGCGAAACAAGCGTATAGGGGCGGTTTAGGTTTTAATAGGATCACATAATTAGAATACTATAAATAAAAACGGTCCAGGTTTGTTCTCTTCATGTATGAGATTAATAACTGCTGCATGCATATTTGGGAAAGGACAATTCATAACTGCAGGCTGCGGTTCCTAGGTCAAGCAGAAATTGGAATTTCTGAAAAATCTCGGGTAGCGTATAAGCTTTTGTGGTCGGGTGTACTCACATATTCACAACACTATTCGTTATCGAATTCAAGCAAGTCGATGCGCCAAACAAGTGAAAAGTTGCAGAGCACGGCTCACTGACCACTTGCCTTATATAGCAATTCATTTTCATTCGTGCATAATAAAATAAATAACTACGTCTATGACGTCATAAAAGAATATTACGTAATAAAGCTGGATTATCCCCCGCGAGTGATTCAAGAACACAACACACTCGGTAGGATTGTTATAATTAGGGCGCTAGGGGGTTAGATAGGGCCAGATGCGGGGAGGCGCCCCACCCATTTAAGCCTCCCCGCCTCTTGTTGCACCACTCCTTCAACCAGTGCACCTCAAGCATGCCCAGCGGAAATGGAGAATCTCTCGTTCAGCACCCTACCTAACATCCTGCCGCTGCCACCACTTCGCCTCAGCGCAATTCACTTCTCGCTCCCACTTCAAGAGAAACAGCAGCTGAGCTTTGAGGCGATTTTGGGCTTGCGGTGTGGCGCGACTGTAGCAGGAGTATTTTGAGCCGACACTCCCAGGACAGTAGCTGCACCCTTTGGAGCGTACGTACGTTCCATAACCAAAAAGCGTCATTCAACTTGCGCGCTAAGAGTGTGACAGCATTCTTGATGGGGAAGGGCAAGCGCCGAGTTTTCAAGGAAGACAACACAAGCAAATGTCAAGTGACTAATATTGTTGTGGTACCAATAAGACCTAAGGGTGCAAACTGCCTTTATGCAAGGGCTTATTATAAAGTGTTAAGTGACGTATTCTATTGTAAAGCATCAAGACTCCCTCAAGGGTACGAGCGGTTTTTATAATTTTTTTTTTTCAGTTAGTCAAACGAAGAATCTTGTAGGGCAACAAGACTCCTGAAGAAGGTTACAAAAAATTTTATAGAGTGCATAAACCGTTTTATAGTGCTTCAGATGACGAATACTGGTCCTGCGGCACAAACACTCCCAAAAGGATGCAAACTTTGTGATAGTGTGAGGCGAGTTGGTGCAGCTACAACGTTCATAAAAGGAATGAGTGAATATCGAAGCCCGGATTCGTCACGACAGACGACTTGCGTAAGAGTAAAAAAAATGTGAACAGAGCGAGACCTGGCTTCGAATACGCCTTGGCAGAAGACATGCAATGCGATGACGCGAAGGAAACAACCCAGAACCCAAACGTCTTCGCGATGTAAGAAAAGAAGCATCGCCGGCCGTCTTAACGTCGAATCGGGTCTTGGCGGACAGAGCAGACCGTCTCAAGGTCCCGCACCGCCCGCGCCTTCGCTCTTTCTCTTTCTCGACATTAAGTGGTATGGGAAGCTTGCTCAACGAGCTTACAAAGAGAAAGAAAGAAAGAAAGAAAGAAAGAAAGAAAGAAAGAAAGAAAGAAAGAAAGAAAGAAAGAAAGAAAGAAAGAAAGAAAGAAAGAACATCACTGTTGCAAGCAAGCAAGCGCGGTCCCGCATGACAGCACATCGGAACCCGGTCGCCAAAGAGAAAGGCAAACACACTTGGCCCCAGCCATGGCTTCACGGGCCGCTAAAGTACCAACGCACGCCGCACCGTACGAAGCGAGGCGATCGACGCAGGGACAACCGCGTTTTTCTCGATGATACCGCACGACGGCGCTGAGGTCGAGGAGTCCGCGTATAGCCCGCGTTACAAGGACGGGATTCCTTTATATGCGCGCGCATGCAGAGGGCAAACACAGACGCTGCCTTTCGATCGGCGAAGATAAGCATACCGCAATTACTCGCGCAATACCCTCGCCTCCTTGTAAGAATATACTAGCTGGACGAGTTAATACATGGCGATTGCTAAGAAAGCGAAAAATAAACGCGGGACAAGAATAAAAGATACGCGCTTGTCCTGTAGCTTTCTTCGTTTTGTCCCACGTTTTTACGCGCTATATCTTAATGATTACCTCCTTGCGCACACACTGTGAAAAGTTTCGCGGTGGCAACGCTTGCAGCAAAGCACAACGCGTGCTGACGTACCGACTTATTTAAGTAGATTTGCTACAATAATCAATTCATTCGTTCATTGTTTCCTTCATTTATTCTGGTGGTTTTGAAGCACCACGTACGCGCGCCACAAAAAGGCCAACCGAAACAGTAAAAATGACAAGTCCACTCAAAGGTAAAGCGGTCCCTGCTTGTAGTTAGGCGTTTCAAAAGTAGACCGGTGCAATAAATAAAACGGTATTCGACTTACATTATCTCAAGAAACAAAAAACTGAGCAAGACAACCGTAAGGTAAATCGATGCCGAGACGTAGCTAATTTACGCGTGGGTGGATAAGTACAACGTCAAATAATCATGACGTATTTTTAGGAAAACAAACAAAGCCAAGGAAGGAAAAGGGGAGGTTATCTGTAACATTTTAACTGTAATGAAGAAATAATGATATGAATATGAGGCAGTTCACATTCATATTGGTAGCATTTGTAAACGGTTCATCATTTGTACATCATATAGTAACAACAATACAGATAAAAGATGGCAAATAACGTCCTCTATAACTTCCTCGGCTTCGTTGTCTGTTGGTTCTTCATCAAGGTTGTCCCTACCAAACAAAAAACTAGCCCTTAAATTCCCCTTCTTTCGTTCATTAATGCATTTTACGTGCTTCATAGAAGCCGCTGGGCCTTTTTTGTCGTTGTTTTTCCTGTTTTCAATTACCTGAGTAACGCATATAAGGAAGAATCTCGGCATCCGTGGTAGCAAAGAGCACGACCTCCGTTCACACATTGCGGCGTCGAAAAGAAAAGTGAATGCAGAGCAGTTGCCAAAAAGAGGCGCGCTTTCTGGCTATATACGAGTGATGTGCTTCGGCCACCGGGTCAAGGCGTCGGATAAACAACGACATCGCCGATTCCTCCGGTCGACACAACAGTGCTATTTATATACATATACGCGAAAAGCGAAGTGTGCCGTCCTCTCGTATATGGCAGCTAAAATAAAAAGAAAAACGCAGCTACCAAAAACGATTCAAAGAAAAGTATAGCTGTTTTCTTGGAGTGAAGGACAACGGCTCTATGGCTGGCGTTCCAACACCGAATGGACGATCGATCCGTGCACCAGTGGAAGAAGGATTACGACATTGGAGCCATGCCATGCGAAGCAGTGCTCCAGATAGAACGAACGGAACGCCGACTAGATGCGAGCCTAATAATACAGATTGATCACTTCCGTTTGCATGCGCGACGTCGGAGAAAAACCTTGGTGTGACGCCTCACTGCGCGGGACAACGATATATGGTTCTGGCGCCGAAACCGAAGCGAATCGACGTCAGCTGAGGCCTGAAAAAACTAGTCCTGACTGAAAAAAAATACCAACTTGAAGGTCACGCTGAGCACCCGCATCCTTCGTATCCGGCTCTTTTGCCTGAAACCTCAGGCGAATAATCAGTCGAGTAACCATTCATTAACAACTTATTTCACGCACAATTTATTTCAATGTGCGTTATTTTATTTCTTCGTGTATGTCTTGTTATTAATAAACTTCATTTCAATCAATCAATGTCTTGTTATCTTTAATAAACCTCGTTACATTATTGTCTCTAACAACCATGTGCCCAATTTCATGGCGCCTTCAGTAGAATGAATATGCGTTCGTTCCCGACATCACGAGCGAATAATGATTTTTGTATCTTCGTGCTAGTACACGATATGATTATGAACGCTGTGGGGAGCGCGGACTCATTTCTACTCACCTAGACTTCTTTATCGTGCACCTTAGTACAAGTATACATGGGTAAGGCAAAGGTTCAGAAGAAAGACGGAAAGCTTGAAGAAATGAAAATATATTATATACACGGCTCATCCCTCCATTACAAAAATCGACAAAACACGAAAGTAAAACTTGTCCTTGCAGAAGTAGCTTTCAGTTTAGACTGATGTAAGAGTGCTTGCTCAATATCTATTGGTGGATGCATTCCCGTTGACGCTTTGTCATACATCTACATCCCGTTGACTAACGTCCATCATCAATGATTAAACAAACTTTTGTGGTCATAGATGCATCTATGGTAGTTAACGGTGAGAGAGGAACCACAGAAACTAATGTGACAGCCAGAAGAGCGTGACCGATTGGACGCCGAACTCGGGCTAATGTCGCCTTCCAGAGGTTGAAGTGCTATATGTTTGGTATGGTTGGATGCTATGAGCGAAGCCGACGCTTGGGGTATAAGCTCGCCATTTGAGACGGTGAAGGCGTCGACAAAGTTGCATTTCTCCTATTGGAAACGCGGCGAATAAGACGGACGCTTAGAAACGAAGTGTTGAAGGAACTAATCACGGATACCATGCATGGTCATGATGCATTATAGCACTTTACTGCGGGAGGACAGTGGTAGACATAGAGGGCGTATTTTTTTAACGCGTACAAAGTGTGTGACCATGTGAACAGTCTTGATATGCAAGGCAATAAAGAGAGAAAAAAGGTGACTATGGCGCAGTGAATAGGGTGCCCGGCATCTGTTGTAGCGGCCCCAGACGTCATGGGTTCGACTCCCGTTGACGGAACTTTTTGTTGTCTTGCAATAATACATGCGTCTTTTTTTTTTGACGTCATTTCCGTGAAGAAAGTACGTCGCTGAATCTTGGTACGCCCCGGCATAAAACACTTTTGAGTTAAAATCTGTTGAAGAGGCGTCTGTTAGTCGAAACTCTGGCTCCAGCTACACCACCGATTTTTGTGGCACCGGCAGTGCGAACAGGGAATAGTCACCATCATGAACTGGTACGCGTTTGCTTCATCCTTTCCTTCACCTTCTG